ACTTGGCCCACACAAGGCAGAGCTCAGTGATGAAGTAGGGGGGAAAAAACCAGCTCCAGTATGTTCTACGTGCAAGATAAACTTTTGCAGAGGTTTGTTTGTTTGGTTGGTTTTTTTTTAATGTTAAAAGCACTGGTTCTTCTGAGCAGTTTCTTTAGGAGGAGCTTTCCTTATTTTTGCTGGTGTTTTGTATTTGTTTAGTTTTAGAGGCAAGGTAGAGCTTGCTTTAAACTTAATGAAAAGAGTTGTTCCTTTTCTATTAATTCACAGAATAGTCCATCTGTGTACATAAGACCTCAAGGGTATACTAGCTGAGAAAGATGTGCAATGGATTAACTTAACATCTTAAATGTTCTTCTAGGCCACAATCAAACTAGCCAGATAACGAGTGTATAGTGGCATCTGGACAGTATTGCCAGACTCTATGGTTGATAAGCTCAGGTAGAAAGTATGCAGGGCAAGGGAGTGCTTCTTGGGTAGTTCGTGTCCTTGGATTTCTATGTGATTTCTGGAGCAAAAGACAAGGAACTTTTCAGTAGAAAAGGTTGCAATATTTAGCATTTCCTTTAAAGAATAGGTCTAAAAGGAAGAGGAGTACTGTCACAATGGTTTTGCCTTAAACTCTTATTATTGGAACATCTGTGTCTTTACATATGTTAAAAAAATCTTGGTCTTGTTTTGGGTGAGGAGATAAATATGAGACTGTTATATTTATAACAGTAAATATTTATTTTTATAAATAAATAAATATAAATTACTTTTTATTTAAAATATAAATATATCGTTACTTGCCTATTGATATCACAAAACCTGTTTGATGTGTACTGTGGGGCCTTATGCATCCAGAATATAGCAAGCCTAATTTTTGGAGAGAAGCCACTGTTCTTGAAATATCCAGGACAGCTAAATGCTTGGCAGCCTTAATTGCACCCATGGCCAGGAACAGGGAGTAGTCCACCAAACTGAGTTATTTGCTGCTGTTCTGTGGTGTGTGGGTTATGTGACATCCTCTGATGTGAGAGAATCTGGGGATAGAAGTGAAGAAGACTTTGACAACTAGAAAAATTTCTTACTACATTTTCTTGCTACATTGCAGTTGAGTTTATTCTGGACTTGCAGGGTATCATAAAAGACAGAGCTCTTAAGAAAACTGTGCTTTCCCCATGAGCTTTCAGATTGTTTCGATGGACCCCAGGCACCTAATGTTTTCTGGTACATCTTGTCCCAACCCAAGTTAAATGGCATTATCAGC